TTGTGTGTTTATGCGCACTTTAATATATTTTAACGTTACACCTTCTTATATAAAATAAAACAAAGCAAAGCAAAGAACAAGTGTCTTATCATTTATTATACTACATAGTAGTTGTCCGCAACAAACGATGTTGATCTGCCATCACAGTCCTTGTGCAGACTGAAAGAATACCATCATCTCCTGTTCCGTTGTTGTCTCCTTTTTTGTAGTTTTAAATAATGATTTAATGATTTGATATTTATTTGCCACCGGCACGGCTATAAATGCTTCTCCGACGAGCCGCTTCTTCTTCGGCTTTTGCCGTGGTACTGCGGGTTACACCAGCAACATGCCCGTGGACACTGCTGACTAGCGGTTTGCATGTGTACTGCCCGTTGACGCGGACAACGACGCAGAAGCATAAATAAAAACTGACGCATAGCCTACGGCGTAAAGGCTACGGCGTAGGTCCGACGCAGAAGTATAAATCAGCCTTTAAGAAGAAGGATTCGACGAAGGAGCATCTGGCGGGCTTGTGGCAACCACATGTGACGACCCTGGGCTGGACTCCGCTTTGTCCACATTGAAAGCCGATCCGGCGATCGACAGCGCAAAGTTGTTGTATTTCCTCAGCAACCAGCACTGATCAGCTCCAGACATGACGAAGCGGATATCGTCCTCTTTTGGAAGGCCAACCAAAGTAGTTTTACTTTCACAACGAAACACAGCGTCTTCACGAAATGGCGGCGGTGGCAACAACAATACTACAGCGAGAATAAAAGTTACGCCTTCTTTCTTTGCGTGAACATTTGGGCAACATTATGCAAATCTTCCCACATCGTGACGTAGACATGTGGGGGCGTGTTAGAACGAGCCGTTTTAGGTAGGCGTGGTTGACTCTTAACTTTTATAAAGAACATCTCTTTGGATTTGAGACTTTATTCTTTGCAACTTTACAGATCTTCTTTATACACCAAGAGCTTGTAACACTCCAAAGAGAAAGGAAAAATTTAAATCGCATCATATGACCCCTTTAAAAGTTCAGATTCAGGTGGACTAAAAGAAAAATGGCTAATTGCGAATTTATATAGTGCCACTATTGCCTCGTTAATGGGTTTACAATTGGCCTCAGTGTTATGCTAATTCTACAAACATTCAAATAAGCATATTTCAATCATGACAACTCTCAGAACATTTTAGCATGGTGATGGATATGACAATGTTAATGTATTTGGTCTTGGCGGAACAGATCTGCTACACTGCTGCTGCTGCTGAATTGCTGCTGCTGTTGGTTATTGCTGTAGTTGTAGATTATTGCTGCTGCTGCAAGCAAGTAGAGGAACTTGCTACTGCCAATGCATATGGCGATACGGTGCCATGAGTATTTAAGACATACTGCTGCTGCACAAATAGCATATAAAATAACCCCATAGCAGATCTATACAGGTGGAGCTGGAGAAGGTGGAGGGTTTCGGAGAACTCCGTCAGAATGCGCCATCTAGAGTTTCATGAGTGAACTATATATTTAAACTACAAAAACCACTTTAAATAAAGCTGAAATAAAACTTAGCTTAAAACTAAATACTAAAATGGACAGACAAATCAGAAAAAGAAAACCCCACTAGCTTGATTATAAATATACATGTAAACATATACCAGGGTATTTTATCATTACCATGGTATAGTTCACATGCCAAATAAACATGTTAACTAGCCTATTGTTATCATGTTACAAAACAGTAGCATGCCAAACACCATGGTACTGTTGTGTAAGTGCATAATACACATGCAAAAATTAATCAACTAACTCTTTCTCGTAACTTTCACACACTCTGACACACACTCAAGTGGTTCAAGTTGAACAGTGAAAAAAGTGAGTAACTCAAGCAGATGGCTGCAATCACAAGAAACCAGTAAACACCGGAAGAGTCCTCAGCTTTTACAAGCTGATTTAAGTTTATGAGACAAGAAAGAGGCAAACAATTCATGTATCTTGTGCCTAAAACTTTCCCAACTTATCACGAAACTTTACTGACTTATCACACATTTTCATTTCATAATTACGAGTATGTCATAGTGTGTAGGAGAGTATGTTCATATTCTTCATTTTTTTGTGTTTGTGTGTGGTGTTTTTGGTGTTAGGAGGAGGCCAAGGAGCATCATGAAGTATTTATAGATGCAAATTAGCTCCCTGTTTCACTCTCTCAGCCCTTTCAGTGCTGCCTCATAATTGGTTTCTTTCTGTTGAAATTCTCCTTAACAGCACATGAATGTTGTTATATCCTAATGAGGCAGATTAGAATTTCAGGTGTGTGTGTGTCTGGAGGGCTGGACTGTGTGTGTCAAGGGGGTGGCTGCATTAGGGGATGTTGTACCTCAGAGCAGATGAACAGAAGTGAGCCCACAGATTGCCGGACTGATGCCTGATCAAGTAACTTTTTCTCTCTCCAGTGTTCAGTGCTGTGCGTGTCTACTCTCTTCTCCTGCTTCTTTGTCAGACCTTTTCATATGTGATTCTGAGCTGTAGCTTTTTTTTTTTTTTTTTTTTTAACTTTTTGACAAGTACTTTGGAAAATGAAATTTAGATCTATCTATCTGTCTGTCCGTCCGTCCGTCCGTCCGTCCATCATCTATCTATCTATCTATCTATCTATCTATCTATCTATCTATCTATCTATCTATCTATCTATCTATCTATCTATCTATCTATCAATCATATGTACATATGTGTGTCTATCTGTCTATCATACCAAATGCTACATCAAAACATCAAATTATTATTAACAGAATTTCACTTATATTTCTAAAGAATTGCAGTGGAGTTGGAGTCAGACTTTTTGACAAGTACTTTGGAAAATGAAATTTAGATCTATCTATCTGTCTGTCCGTCCGTCCGTCCATCATCTATCTATCTATCTATCTATCTATCTATCTATCTATCTATCTATCTATCTATCTATCTATCATATGTACATATGTGTGTCTATCTGTCTATCATACCAAATGCTACATCAAATGTATATATTATTATTAACAGAATTTCACTTATATTTCTAAAGAATTGCAGTGGAGTTGGAGTCAGATTTTATTTAGGCATTTATTATAAGATAAATATTCCACTGTCAGGATATCAAATACAGTTTTTATTTTATTTTAGCTGATGTTTATCATGAAGGAAAGAAGGATTTTTTTGCTCTATGCAAAACTAAAAGGTTTCTTAAGTTCATCAAGGTTTAATAGCCTTATGGATGTTCTGTTGGGGAAGTTGAAACATGGGCTTTAAATTGTGCTTGGAAGATGTTCCTGTCACTGCCTCTGTGAGTAATTGGTCAGTGTAATTGCAAATGTCTGTGCTAGGATGTATATCACATATTTAATGGGTGTATTTTGCTTGTTTGCACATTTTATTGGGCTGGTTATCATGTCTTCCCATTGCTCCATATTCTGTGGGATGGATTATTGTTGTAAAGTGTAATTTAAGGTAATTGCAAAGTGTATTATTGCAAAAAAAAAATTCATTTATTTTTACTGAGATGTCCAATATGTGAGTAACATTGGCTGATTTGCATTTCTGTTTTTCATTTGTGTTTATGTCAATGTGTAGGTTATTAATTAATTATGTACTGCATAAAAGCTATATTGCTATATCTATCTCCATCTTTCTATTCTTTTCTGTTCTATCTCAGACATTGGCTGATTTCTACACAATCCATCATGCCTGCCATTGTAAACCTGCTCTTCAACACGGTCTCCACCAACACCACCATCTCCTTTTCTCTGGTGCTGCCTCTGGTCAGCATCCTCTCCCTGCTGGTAGGGGTCGGAGGTCACCTGCTCATGTGGTTGGTGTTGATGCGTAACCCACGGCGTCGTTCAAAGCCCAGCTCTGTCCTCCTGTTAAACCTGAGTTTTGCTGATCTGTGTGCTCTACTCACCCTGCCCTGTGTGCTACTAAGCGCTAGCTCTCAGAACTGGCAGCTGGGAGGAGGTGTTTGTGTGTTGTTGAGCTTCATGACCTCCCTGACCGCTGGAGTGGACATCTTCAGCCTGGCTGCCCTTTCTGTGCTGCGTTATCGAATAGTGGCTCCCTCGACACGACCCCCGGCCACCCCTGCGCAGGTGTGAGTATCTGAAGGAGCTAAAGAAAAACAGTTGTAAAAAGGGAAAAGTTATATTTGTGAAAGAAATGGAGAAATATTTTATTTATTTATGTTTTTCTGTCGACAAAAAGTAAAGGAAGTGATGGACAAATATTTATTTGAAGTAGGCCTATACTTCGGAATAGCCACATAGCTATGGTACATTAATATGTTTTTGATCAAAGTAGATTTCAAGATTCATTAAATCTCACATAAATTCTCTATATAGGCCTATTTCTTTAAATTATTCCATCACTGGAAAAAATGATAACTTTATGTTGATTCACTAACCACTCTGGGCAGCATGAATTTCCCAAAAGCATCGTAAACATATAAGTAGATCGCTTGGTGCTAATGGTTTCTGCGATCTAACTAGGTTTATGATGCTTTTGGAAAACAAAGCCGTGATTGATTCAGTAAAGGATCCATCACTGATTCAAATTACGGTCTTTTTGAATTAATTGATTAAAAGGACCGGCTCGTAAGAGTCATTTGTTTGGGACTTACGCTGTTTTTGATTCACTAAAAGTATCGACTCATAAGAGTCATTTGTTCACGAATCAGAATGGTAGGTCGCAATATGTTCAGGAAAGGCAAACAGCTCACTCTTAAACATGCTTTTATAGTTATTTCGCAGTACAAGAACTTTTTATTTCCTTCTCGCTTTCAATTCGAGATGAAAACTCGGGTATTTATTAGTTTATTTTATAAATACTGACTTATTTTTGCAGCCGCCGTGTAAGAAAAGCTGAAGGGCGCGCTTCCGCTGAAAAACGATCCAGAAAACGCCTGACACGGAGTAAAAATATACTTCTCGCAATGCGAATCAATATGAGATGAAAATCATATTTATTTAAATCACAGTACTTTTTGAAAAGGATCGTTACTCTCATTTACAAAAAAAGTGTATTACCATGACTGATGATATTATTATGGTAATGTATACAAACTGCCTTGGAATACCATAATCCTATGGTATACAAAAGTGTTATGGTACTGAGATGGTACCATGGTACTTTGAAATGTACCATGATGGATGAAGAGATAAGGTGGTGTCTATTATAGTTCACATCCAAAAAACTGCATGTATATTTATCGTGACTACTACCAAGGTGTAACATTCAAAATACCACAGCAATACATTTTTGTAAGTGTAACACACAATACCACTATATCAAACTATTATGGTAATGCCATTAGGGATATAAAGAGGCATAAAATATATTGAATTCTCTGTATCTGTCTCTTTATTTGGCCCACAGAGCTGGCACTGTTGCTGTTATCTGGCTGGTTTCCATTGCCATGGCCCTACCTAAAGTCACGTACATCCAGTTTGACAGTGGCTGCACGTGGTCGGTGGGCCGCGGTCACTGGCTGGGCTTCCTCGTTCCTGCATTTCTGGTGTATTACGTGGCTCCTCTACTCTGTATCGCCCTGCATTGCGGGCTCATCATCACACACCTGTACCGCTGCCGGGGCACTCTAGCCGCAGACCACCGCAACAAAAAAGCCACAGCCCTTCTCATCGGCTCCACGCTGGTGTTCGCCATTAGCTGGCTGCCTTATTACGTGCTAGAGTTTGTCAATGTTTTATCGCCCTCCCTTAATTCCGTCAGCTCACCCGAAAGCCCCACCTCCAGCTCCACCGCCCCGTCGCCGGCGTCAAGTACGGAGGTGTCTTTGCTGTGGGAGGTGGCCTCGCTGTCTGCCATTCTTCTGATTTGTCTGGCACCTTGCTGGAACCCGCCACTCTACTTCCTGCTATCTAAGCCAGCCCTGAGGCAACTGAGAGGGCTGCTACCCATCATGCACCAACACTGGAGAGCTGCTACCTTCCTACAGCACATAGTGCCAAAACACGCTCCCACACAGCCCCACTCACAGCCTGGGTCTCAACACGTTCCTCAGAACATACTAGCAGCAACGCACCCACAATGAGAACATGCGCACTCAGATCGACATGGTAAGGCACAGCACATACCTGCTTCACAGCAAAGCACACCCACACGCAGGCACAAAGTACACACACGCCACACACACAATGACAGGTATTTTCTGCCAGAGCATCCTCATCCCTGTCATGCTGGCTGAGATGGTGAGTTGCTTAGTAACACTACAGAGAGGAACAGAAACATAAGACCATGGACCTCTGCATTTATGGCTCAGCATCACATTTTACAATGTTCCAGAATGCCAGCTGCTCTCTTCCCCTTTTTCAAAATCTCTCTCTCACACTAAAAACGTATCACAGCAGATTTTTATCACCAACTCGGTTGCGCTCACACACATTAGCGTGTTCTCGACAACATATGTGTTCATTTTTAATTAGCTTGTTTCTGATTGTGCCGCTTGTGCGGTGAGTAATAGATTAGATTTGTGTGGGCTGGTACTGTATATCAGATAGATCGTCTATAAAGGCTAAATGTAGTGCGTTTGAGTCTCACTTGCTGATCATTGATGTTATGAATCATCGATATGTGCTGTAATGAGTTTTTTGACAGTCATTGTCAGCCTTATGTGAAATGCAATGCACTGTGATTTCGGAAATGGGAAAAGTATATAAATATTTCCCATTAATGACAGAGGCATGGCTGAGAGAACTCAGCAGCTCTCAGAACTGTGTCACCTGCGGATGAGTCATCCTACTTCACAAGATTTTTTTCATTCTCTGCTGATATTGTAGCCAGTGTAATAAAATGTGGATCTGAATTGATCCGGCAATTTTTCTCCTTGAATTTCCATTCCCCATGCTCCTCCCTCCTAATAAGTTCATCTCTTTTCCCTGATCTGAACTGAGAGGAGGGATAAAAGAAAAGGATACAGCATACAGAGTTGAAAAAGAAAAGTTTTTCGTTTACAAAAACGTACAGGCAGAGATGAAGACAGATGCTAATACCATGGTTATCTGATAAACCAAAACCATTATATTAGCCTGGTATATGTCCCAAAACCATATATTAGCTAGTGCTGTTACCATTAACTGAAGCTAAAACAATTTTTATTGTAATAAAAAATGTATTACAACTAAATAGATATATTACAAAAAATATAAACTATATATAAAAAATGAAAAAGCACAGAAAATTAACAAAACTTAAAATATAGAAAAATTAAAATAATAATAAATACTATAATAGTATATAGATATTAAAATGATACTGGTATTAGCATGATAAATGTCTAAAAAATTTAAATGATACTGGTATTAGCATGATAAATGTCCAAAAACTATGGTATTAACATGGTATATGTGACCCTGGACCACAAAACCAGTCATAAGTAGCACGGGTATATTTGTAGCAATAGCCAAAAATGCATTGTATGGGTCAAAATGATCGATTTTTCTTTTATGCCAAATTAAGGGTATTAAGTAAAGATCATGTTCCATGAAGATATTTTGTAAATTGCCTACCGTAAATAAATCAAAACTTAATTTTTGATCAGTAATATGCATTGCTAAGAACTTCATTTGGACAGCTCATTTGGACAACTTTAAAGGTGATTTTCTCAATACTCAGATTCCAGATTCAAATAGTTGTATCTCGGCCAAATATGGTCCTATCATAACAAACCATACATCAATGGAAAGCATATTTATTCAGCTTTCAGATGATGTATAAATCTCAATTTCGAAAAATTGACCCTTATGACTGGTTTTGTGGTCCAGGGTCACATAGATCATAAAATCAGAAAAGTATTTTGAGCATGTTACCATGTTATTCTTAGAAATACAATAAAGTACCATAATACATCAATTTCAATACCATGCTAGTATATTTCAAACTACCATATTATCATCATCTAATGCCATCACTGTACCATGGTACCACCACAGTACTTTTTTGTAAAGGGTTCCAAAACTATGGTATTACTATTATGTCTTGTCCAAAAAAGAAAAAAATAGGGTGATACCATTGTATGTTTTATACCCTGCTATTCAGGCATCGGTTTTTAACTTGGCAAAATCTTTTTCCGGGTCTATAATGTGACAAAGTCTGTACTGGCCCCTCTCTGTCAATCATTCATCTCTCCAGAACAACAAATCTGTGCCCTTCTTTTATTCACATGTCTTCTTCTGAAATGTATTACAGAGTGGCACTCATGGTAAGCTTTGCATCCAAGGCTGGGCATTTTATAAAATAACTCCCAGGTTAGAAATCACCTAAAAGATCAAAAAGATCAAGAGAGGCTGTCTTTCTGCTGATGCCTGTTATTTGACAATATAACAAAACCAATGAATGGGTTTGTTTCCATGGGTTTTTAAAGGTGACTGGAAAATTGGTTTGTTTTGCTGTAATCCCTTTTAATAAACCAGCAAAACACCAGCCACGCAAGTGACCATTTACATTTTTTTTGCTAATCTGATGCAACATCCCCTTAGACCTCAATGAGCTAACAGCAGTTCAAAGAGGTCGCCGTTAAAGTGCAGACAGGCAGACGAGAACAACGATGAGAATGGGGTTGAGCTGTCTCACAATTACGCTGACAGCATCACCTATTCAACGCGCTCGCAAGAGGTACCCACTTAAACTCACTCGTTATCTACTGTAATTATAACAGTCATATTTTGGGGGGTTTACTGAATAATTAGAGTTGTCAACGCTCACATCAAACTCCTTTCAGACTCCTTTCAGAGAGCCGGCGAGGTCTGATGAGATGTAATTAACACTGCACACTAGCATCTGCGACATGAGCTCAGCATGCTCCACTTGTCCCTCTCGACCCTCTTTGTCACCATGTGATGCCCCAGACCATCACGGACTGAGGCGGTCTTGCTCTGTGTGATTGGAAGACTGCTGTGGAGCTGCACTGAGCTGGCAATGTGACATGCAATCTGTCACATGTACCTAAAATACAATCCTCTGCTCTCCATGAGTGGTAAAACAGCAGGCTTATTTGCATCATGATTTTTAAGTATATACATGTATTTAATAATCTTTACTGACATATAACAATACATATGTATTTACAAAGCAATTGCAGATGTGTGTGATGAGGAAAACACAAAATAAAAAGGTGTTAAATGACTATAATAATAAACATCCTTTAAAGGGGTCATATGATGCTGCTAAAAAGAACATTATTTGGTGTAATGAAATGTGTTTATGTGGTTTAAGGTTAAAAAAACACATTATTTTCCACATACTGTACATTATTGTTTCTCCTCTATGCCCTGCCTTTCTGAAACGCGTCGATTTTTACAAAGCTCATCGGTCTGAAAAGCGAGGTGTGCTCTGATTGGCCAGCTATCCAGTGCGTTGTGATTGACCGAATATCTCAAGCGTGTGATGGAAATGTTACGCCCCTTACAATATTGTGATGCCCTGTCCAGCCGGAAGGACGAGACAAAAACATTAAAACCCATTATAAATGAGGCATTTGTTGTATCCAGTGGGGACATAATTACGGATTATAATGACTTATACTGTCTTTTTACGCGTTGCATTGCGCCGCATAAACATAAAACCATGTCTGCATTTGTGATCGGAGAAATGACAAACAACAAGACAAAAGGTATGAGTATAATAACGATTCTAACATAACACTAAGCCAAACACCCACAAAAAAAAAAAACTACTGGCGGCAAGTCACTGTTTTAATTAATGAGTCATTGAATAATTGGTTTAGTTCAAAAGGAAGCAAGTAATTGATGACTTTTTGAATAGGTCATTTAAAGCAGCATTTCCCAACCTTTTTCAGTCATGGCGCCCTTTCAAAATCTTAAAATATTTGTGGCACCCTACACAAACACAACTGCTCTGCAGGCCCTGCAGTCTACCTGCTCTGCACTGAAGCTGATGGTTCACTTCAGAAGCATCTTAAAGGCCTTGATGTTGCTAAAAAAAGAACATTATTTTGTGTATTTGGTGTAATGAAATGTGTTTATGTGGTTTAAGGTTAAAAAAACACATTATTTTCCACATACTGTACATTATTGTTTCTCCTCTATGCCCTGCCTTTCTGAAACGCGTCGATTTTTACAAAGCTCATCGGTCTGAAAAGCGAGGTGTGCTCTGATTGGCCAGCTATCCAGTGCGTTGTGATTGACCGAATATCTCAAGCGTGTGATGGAAATGTTACGCCCCTTACAATATTGTGATGCCCTGTCCAGCCGGAAGGACGAGACAAAAACATTAAAACCCATTATAAATGAGGCATTTGTTGTATCCAGTGGGGACATAATTACGGATTATAATGACTTATACTGTCTTTTTACGCGTTGCATTGCGCCGCATAAACATAAAACCATGTCTGCATTTGTGATCGGAGAAATGACAAATAACAAGTGCTACTCTACACTGCCCATAAAACTTGCGTTTGAATCGTCAGTGGCAAATTCTTTAAATATAAAAAACTTACTTACAGTCTGTGAGTCAGAACAGCCGGCATTGTAGTCAGGATCAGGAAACCTCCATAAAAGTCCTCCATAAAATGCACTGGACACATCTGAATATTTGGGTTAAACTGTTCTGGAACAGTGTTGTAAATACAACTTAACCACTGATTTCTAGTCGTGTCCTCTTTTGGAAGGCCAAACAAAGTATTTTCGCTTTCACAACTAAACAGTGTCACACACACGCGGCCTTGAGTGAGCGGAGGCCGGAGGCCTAGAGTGAGCGGCGGCCTAGAGTATGCGGAGGTCGGCTTGAGTGAGCAGAGGCGAGCGGGCTTGAGAACGGCGCGGCCGGCGGATTCGACGAAGGAGCGTCCGGCGGACTTGCGGCAACCACATGTGAAGACCCCGGGCTGGACTCCGCTTCGTCCACGTTGAAAGCCGATCCGGCGATCCACAGCGCGAAGTTGATGTATTTCCTCAGCGACCAGCATGGATCAGCTCCAGGCATGACGAAGCGAATATCGTCCTCTTTTGGAAGGCCAACCAAAGTAGTTTAGCTTTCACAACGAAACACAGCGCCTTCACGACATGGCGGCGGCGGCGGCAACAAAAATACTACAGCGAGAATAAAAGTTACGCCTTCTTTCTTTGCGTGAACATTTGGGCAGCGTTATGCAAATGTTCCCACATCGTGACGTAGACATGTAGGCATCATATGGCCCCTTTAAACAACCAGTCAACCGGTTAATTCTTAAATGAAGAAAATTCTGTTGCTGCAACAGCCAGATCATTCTGAATACAAAAAATAAATGTGATGTCCGGTGTGGTATGAAGATCCTCTGAGCCAAATTTGGAGAGAACTGGACAACATTGTGGAAGGAGAACAGTTTATCAAAATCCAATTTGGCAGATGGGAGACATTGTAACAAACTCT